AAGAGATTGAAAACACTCAACAAAACTGCAGCCTTTTGGGACTGATTGGCCCTTTTTGAGCTTGTACTGAATGTCTTCTGCTGGAAGACATGGCATCTTCTCCGTAATGTAACAAAGAGCTGCAGGGAGAGGGAGTGGGGATAGGAGGAACTGGACTTTCTTGGTGCAGCTGATTCAAAGCCATTCCTGTGCAGCGCCTAGTACTGCTGCAGCATCTTCTCCAGAGCCCGTACATCCTGGGGATGCTGCCATGGGTCTGTATGGTGCCTGTGCCCCACCACGCTGTGGCTTCTCTTCTCCAACCCTGATGTAGCCAGGAGTGGGGACAGGAGCTGAACAAAGCCTTGGGTCTACAAAGCAGCTCTTGATTTATGTGCAGACACTCCCCCCAGGCCTTGGTGTCACTTGGCTTTCAGCAGCAGCCAGAGGTCTGTATGTCAGCAACAGGTGATGGGAAGAAGTGCCAGTCGGGAGCGTGTGTGGAGGGGAACCGCAGAGCAGATGGCAGCAGGGAAATAAATGTGGAGCTGCCATGGGAATAGTCCTGGAAACAGTCCAGCCTGTGGATGGAGGCAGATGGGAAAAACCCAGTTTATCTCTCTTTCCAGTTTTGCTATTTTTCAGACACTTTATTTCCAGCTCCGCTATCTCTGGGCCATTTTTTCCTGTCTTACTACACCCTCATCCTTATTTTTTTCCTCTCTTGTCCTTCCTTCTCTTTTCCCCTTTGTTTCTGTTCACATTATATCTGCATTCATGGAGGGTTACCCAGTCTGTATCTGCCTCCTTATAAATTTATTCCCAGCTCCTCTATCCCTACCTCCACAGCTGATCCTGCACAGCACACAGATCTGACCCAGCTGTGGGCTGGAGTTCAGCATGGAAGAAAGGAAATATTCTGTGAACCTTCACCACATCCTGCCCATTTACTTCTCCACTGTCCCCTCTGAGCTGGTTGCCTGCAGGCTGGTATGTTCATCCCCTCTGTCACTGCAGCTGTGTCCTTGCTGGCTTTGCTCTGGATGCAGGTACATCCCATGTGAACCAGGGTGTCTGTCTTGTGTTCACGTGAGTGCCTGTAGGACTTTTCAGGGAGGCAGCATGGGGTATACGAGCCAGGTCTGGTGTCTTCTGAAGCCTTTTTGTGATACTTTATATAAACTATTTGGTTTTGAACTGAAAAAAAAAAAGGCTTTTTTCTGCTCTTTGAAAAGACTAGGTGGAAACTGCCCATTTGGGTTCAGGTGTGATTGTGGGTGGCACACAGGGTGCTTGGCTGTGGGGGGAGTAGGGGCCATCCCCTGGCAGCCCTCTCTGGACAGCCTCTCCTCTCTCTCTGCAAACACTGTTCTGCAGTGCCTTTCACCAGGGCTGAACCAGTGCTGAGAGCAGGAAGCACATGGGATACTGAGTGCTTGGAGAGCGGGATCAGCCCCAGTGTCAGTCGTGGATCCCAAACCTGCCTGGCATTTCTGTGGCAGTGGGGCTGCTGCCTCCCCCGTCCCACTGATGGACCACCCGCAAGTGCAAAGGCGGTTTCTTTCTTGGAGAGTTGTATTTGTGTCCTCTCCTCTTAAACCCAACTGCTTTATTGGTTGGCTTCCTGCAAACTCTGTCTTTACATTTAGAAAAAAAAAAAAAAAGTTTTAAAAAACTTACTTTGTTTAGTTTCTGCCTCAGAAGAGCCAAGGGACATTTAATTGGGGTCTGCAATAGGTTGGGCAGAGAGAGGGCTCTCTGCTGTGGGAGAACACATGTTGCATACAACCTAAGACAGACTTAAAATTAAAAAAACCTCTGAATCTGCTGTACTGTTACTTGAAAAGAAAGAAGTGTTTGTGCAAATGGTGAGTGGGAGCAAACCTGGATGTGGGGTGCTAACCCCCATGCTGCCTGGCACAGCTGTGGCTGGTGGGACCGTGCTGGTTCTGTGCTATCACAGCAGCAGCATCCAGCTGGAGTGAGAGCACGGAGTGAGTCCGGTGCCCACCTGCGCGATGGGAAGGGTGGGGAGCAACCTGGGGCTCTCATTTTCACGGGGGAGCACGGTGAGTGGCTGGTGTGCTTTGCTGTGCAGCTTTGCTGTGTGCTGCTAAGCAGTGGGTATGGAAGCAGAAGGTACAGCGTTGCCCTAAGAAGTGGACAGGTGACCTCCTGCTTGTATTTACTGCTGCCTGCTTCTTTCTTTGATGATGGTGACTAATAGTTCATCAATGCCTGGGTTATACCAGCTCTATTTAGGACTTTCTGCCTGTTGAGTGACAGCAGGATGTGCAAGCAAGCTGAGATACCCAGACCTTTTCTGGCAGGACTGTTAGGGCAAGAAAATACTCTGGAAACAACAATGTGAATCATTTGTCTATCCGAGTGGATGACACTATGTCCCAGCCACGCTGTTCTGCAGTCAGACCTGTGTGGTGGGGTTAGTGTGTCCAGGCCAGCTCCCTGGTGTCCTGAAAACCTACAGGACAGGTTTAACATTAAAAACACAAAAACCTAAGCCTGCATGCTCAGCTGTGCACTTGCCAACATGTTTGTAGTTCTCTGTCCTCTGGGACCCATGGGTATGTGGAGCCTGGCTGACAGAGAAGGGCTTAACCAGGGCTGGCACAATTCCTTTCTGGGGCACCCTCTCTTTCCTGGAGGTTTCTGCTCCCTGCCATGTTTCATGGGGCAATGATGTCCCCCTCGGGCATTTCTGCTCTACCTTGCAACAACAGTGAGTTTAACCACCTGGGCTTGTGGGGATGAAGAGAGGCTTGAGGAGGAGATGGGAATTGTCCAAGGTCATATGGCTAAAACCAGCCAAGAGACCAAGAGCAGCCCTGTCCTCTTACCAAGGGTTGTTCCTCAGCCTGTCCCCGATGCACTGACCCAGGGGGCCACAAATTCAAACAAAATGGCCTTTTTATTGTAGACTGCTCTGGGGGATTGTCAGAGGCTTTGCAGAGTGAGCTGTGCCACGTGCTCCAGGGAGTTTCATGGTAAAACTTTGTGGGCATCAGCAGGGCTGAGTCTTCCTCCTGTTTTTTGGCCAAGCTTTCCTTGTCCCACCTCCTCCAGCCTGTGCCCATTGTCGTGCCACTAACACACGTGCATTTGTGCACGTGAAATGTTTTGATGGCCAAGTGTCCATCCCTACTCTCTGCATGCCTCTGCAATGCTGTCAAACCGCTGCTGACTTGCAGCTGCCTCTGGGGTGGGAGGTGGCAGCTGCTGACATTGCACAGAGATGCTGTTCTGCCTTTTACAACAGGGAGCAAAGGTTACTGTTCCTCATTGAAATACGAGGGTATTCTGGAGGAAGTAGGAAATGACTGCTGAGCAGGAGGGTGCCAGAGCTTTGCGTAGGGAACTAGAAAGGAATGAGAATTGTTAATGGTGCAAACGCTACGTGCACTGCCAAAAATGAACTCATGGCTGTAAATATTACACTAGATTAGCACAGGAAAATACCAGTTGTTGGGGTTCCTGTTACCATCTGAATTACGCAAACAATTTGCTTGAGTTTATAGATGAGCTGGGGCAGAATAACGTTGGGTTTTTCCCAGCCAAAGTGTTTCCCTGTACTAGTGTTATAGCACATTTCCCAGCCTCAATCTGCTCCACAAGTGGTTCCATGCTGTGCTATTTTGGGACTTGATACTGTCAAGTGTGGCCTTTTCCAGGCCACGTTGGAAACTTGGAGATGTCAGGATGTTGGTGGGATGCTGACCTTGCACGTGTGCTATCTGGGGGTCTGAAGGTGGGTGCAAAGGCTCAGGGAGTCACCGAGCCTGATGTTGCAGCTGGAGGCTGTGTGTGTCCCGACACGTGTGTGTGGTTGAGGACCTCACAGGACCTCCACAAGTGGGAAGTGAAGATGTTCCTGGTTCCTGGCTGTAGCAGGGCCACTCAGGCTGAAGATGCTGATCACTGTTCAGAGGCCAGACACCACTGTGATGGGCTCTGTGGAAGGAATGATAAACATTGGCTCTTCCCAATGGCTGTCAGGGAGGTTAACTGACTTTCCCACGGCCATGCAGTGAGTCAGTGTCGAGGCAGGATTAGCAGCTGGGTGTCCCTGGCCCCCAGCCCTGAGCGTGCGCTGACACCAGTTGCATAACCTGGAGCGAGTGCGTGGCCGTGGAGCAGCCACAACCTGTGTGAGCCCTGAACCAGAGCTCCCTTCGCTCCTTGTTGTGATTTGGGTAGAAATACATCAGTTGGAGCTGGGACCTTCTAGGGAGCTTTGTGAACACCTGAGTAAAGAGGACAGAGACATGAGCCAGGGCTCTCTACAAGCCATGTGTTGGGGAATGGGCCCAGCCATAGTGTTAGATGCTGGAGAAGCCCAAAAATCATGAAACCTGGCTTTCTAAGTGCTCAGGGACTTGTTCACTTTGGATGGTCAATGCCTTGAGCTGTCCTAGGGTAAAAACTGGAGGAGGACCAGGTATGGTAGTTTTACTGGCAGTAAAACTTCAGTGTGGCCCTCATGTTGAAGGCAAGTCTAACCTCACCCATGAAGGTATCTTCTGTTACTTTTGTGGGCTCTCAGTTGTGTCCCCAGCAGTATAACCCATGGCATTCATGGGCCCTACAGCCAGGGAACAGCCCCCTGCTGGTTCCTAGGAATGCAACCCCTCCAGCCACCCTGTGATCCATGTCTTCCCTTCAGCAATGGCAGTGCAGAATGAACGTTGGGTCTGTAATTTAGCTCAGGACTGTTAGGAGACACAATCTAGCTCTAAAGCCAAGGCCAAATAGTACTAGCATGGGGTCAAGTTCCTTAGGCACACTCTGCCTTTGGAACTAATTTGGGTGCTGAGTAGCCGGGCAGGTATTTACATGTTGCCTACAGAGACCTAGAGGTCTCTGGATCCTATTCTTCTCCCTTGGATCACCTAAAATGGTAAGAATTTTCCAGGGGGATTAAGGTTGTGATCTGTGGGGAGGGGAGTGGACATCTGGTAGGAGTCCTGTCCATATTAATAGCCTCCGTTTAAATGTATGTTATCAAACGGGGCAGCTCCCAATCAGCCAAGAGATTGTGAACTCTTTTACCTCAGGGGCTGCGGGTGACTCTGGGCTGCTAATCATGGCTTTCCACAGGCACACAGGTAAAGTGGCCGTGCTGCTGGGTGTTGTGGGACCTGTGTGTGCAATACCTGGTAAATGGGGAGGAAGGTTTTGCTAACAGGCTCCTGCACCAGCAGAATAACTCTTTTGAATGCGACCTTGAGCCTTGGTGATCTGCAGCTTTAATTAATGATGGCAAATGGGTTTATAACCAGCATGGGGGACTGGTGCTGGGAGCTTGGTGGTGGTGTCTTCATCTGTTTTGTAAAATGCATTGGATGGTAAGTGCTTTTGTATTTGCTGCTGTGGGAAGACTAGGGCTCAGCTGTTATTTGAGGAAGGCTAGGTGAAAATGGGGATGACGCTTTTCCTTGGAGCAAGCTTGCTATGGAAGTTATTGAGCAGGGAAAATCCATAGCAGAGGGGAGCCCAGCGTGTAAACCCAGATGGTTTGCTCTGCTCTGGTGGGAGGTTTGTGTTTACTCTTCTCTGTGTTTGTCTTGTAGATCAAATGGGCTGACCCTCGCCAGTAATAAGAAAACGTTAACTTTTCCTTCCCGTTAACACTGACAGGAATCTTGAGAGAGTGTTTTGCATGTCCCTCGTGGCATGCAGATTTATTGTGTCTTCCCACCCGTGACTGATCTCTAGCCCTCCAATTCCACACCCATCAAAAGCTCTTTGGGATTTTTAAAAGCTGATCTGATTCCGAGAAGCTCACCATGTTTGTGTGTGTCCAGCATGCATTCACAGCCTTAAATCACAACACACAGTGGCAGGACCATCACATCTCTTGAGGAGACATAGCTCAAGGGGTGGACGTTCCTGTGGAGAGGCTGTCAAGTTTGGGGCATGGCTTCTGTGGGTATCAAACTGAGCTGCTGCACACCAGGAGCCTGGGGAGAGTGGTGATCATGAGAGTCTGTTGGGAACTTAGAGTGTCCTCAAAAGAGAGGAAAGGGAGGAAAGTCACAGCATGCTGTTCAGCTTCAGATTCAACCACAGGACAGGGCGTGGGTATGAGGCTTCTTGCATGGTGTGTAAACTACCTGGGATTTGCTTGTGTGATACAGATATCCATTATGTAAGGTAACTTTCTGAGAAAAATCTGACTTCTATGGTATCATTTTTAAACATCTCAAAGGTGTTTAAAGGAGCAATCCAGTCAATTAAAATGTAAGACATTTATTTTTTAACTTGAGCCCACAAGACTGACCAATGCTGTAGCATCCTTTCATTATACTGCCCACTATATCTTTCTTTTCTTTCTCATCTTCCTCAGGGAGATGTTCTCTGGGGCAAGGACCCACGGATTTTGATGTGGTAAAATGCTGAAGTGTCTTTTGAGCAGATGCAGCAGTTGGAGTGCTGCCACCAACAAGTTACAGCTCAGTGTCTGTTCCCACACTCTGCAGGGACCCCCCTCTCCAGGGCAGCCGCAGTGGGGTGCAGTGGGGTACCGCAGTGCCTGCCGCGGGGGGTGAATTCCCTGCAGCAGGAGAAGGCTTCAGCACCTGGGCATGAGAAGGGCATCCAGCTCCTGAGGTGGGGGCAGATCTGTGCATAGCTGAGAGCATAACTGAGGAGTCTCAAAGGTCAAAAGCTTAAGGCAGCCTCAGAGTGAGTTGGCTACTGAACAAGACTCTTTTGCTTCCAGTAATTTGGTTAGTTTTGGAAGGTTTGGACTTCAGTGCTTAAACTCAGCCTAAGTGCTCAGCCTGACTGTAGGCAGTGGTGCTGTGCACACTGGGAGCCTTGTCAGCCTTAGCTGAGCTCTGTGTTAAGTGCAAAAGCAAGCCCTGGGGAAGTGTTTGCAGGGCTGGAGCAGTTTTTTAACAGCACGTCCCTACTTCCCTGGGGAACTGTGAAGATTTACTAATGATTGAGATGTGCTCAGACACGATGGCAATAGGACCGCAGGGAATGTTTTTGGCAACTGCCTGAGGAACTTGGAGCCGTTCTTGTTCTAAATAAAGAAGCTTCCATTTTATCAACAGACTAATTTTTGAATTACAGAGTATGAAACTCGCACGTGCCCCAGCCTGGCAATGGGAGAGCACAGCTCTCCACTCCTAACTGCCAGCCCTCCCACCAAAGATAACCTGCAAGTGATTTCTTTCATTCCTTGTGGTCCAGGACGGCATGTCAGTGACCTTGAGGTGCAGTCCTGAGTGTTGCTTCACATTTCGGATTAGTGGGACCCTTCTTTTAAGGGTATTCCCTGGTATTTATAGCAAACCACGCGACATTGCATAGAGGAATGCTGAGAATAGTGACTCAGGTGACAGAGCAGGGGACGCCAGGTCCTGAGCTGAAATAGGCAGGTGTAGCCAATGCCTGGCTGTATGGGAGCCGTGTGTACTCAGTCTGCTGAGAAAAATAAAACTGATGGAGAGTCAAAAAGCAATTGCTCTTTTCTTTCCATATGGCTATAAAGAATGCAGCTGTGCCTAAGGCAGAGGGTTAACACCTTCAGCCTCATCTTGTTTCTTAAGTGGCAGAATAGTCCATAAGGTTTAAGGTACAGTTTCCCTGGTTGTTTTTAGACACCACACTTTCAAGTTCTCCCTTGGTGGTTTATCACATTTAAACATATTCCCCAGAGACATTAACACATATCCTGTGCTAAGTGCTTTGCTTATCAGCTGTGCTCCAGCTCCCTTAGCTGAGTGCTTCGGTTTCATTTGCAAACCATTGCGATGCTGTGTTTTAGTGTAAAGCTTGACTGAACTGGGAGGAACCGGCCCAGGGGTGATGGGAGACAGGAACCAATGGGAGAGGGATGGGGTTGTGTTAATGCAATAGCTTCTGTGAGGTGATACTTCTTAGATCTGTACCCTTTCCATCCCAAAGGTTGCCATGCTGCAGGGTGCAGATGTAGCCCTGACCGCCAGCTGAGACAGCCGTCTGACTGCTCCACAGCATGGTGTCAGCATGACTCGAGGTGTGTGGAAGCTGGTGGACCCCAAACATTTGAGATCTTTATTTGAAAGATGGAAGGCATGGTTGTCCAAGGGCTGAGGGGCTGCTTTTGAAAAGCAGCAGATGCTCTTTGGGGACAAGTGGCTAACTGGCACCTTGGTGGTCAGGTAAATGTTAGGGTTGATTTCCAATGGATCTTCATGCCAAATACCCTGATACTTGAGAAGGCCACTGGTCTGGCCAGCTGCCCTCGGGCTGTAGCCAAATCCATCAGGGAGCTACATTTACACAGCACCCTGCCAGCATTGGTGGGAGAGGGACACCTTGCTTAAATGGAGGGTTACTTTCTGGAAGTATTGCTGGATTTTTCTTGAGGGTCCTGTAGGCTATTTAAGGATGGGCATGTACTTCTCTCCAGTAGCCCGTGCTCTCTCTTCTCACCTCCAGCAGAACATCTGCACATGGACGTCAGCCTGGGCCAGAGAATAGTTCCAATCTGTCCATACTCTTCCTCTATCTTCTATATCTCCTTCTGTGGCCCCTGAGTCAAGCTGAAATGGGGTTTGGATCAGTGCAGTCCTCAGGGTATGTGGCTCTCCTGGGGTTAAACAGGACACATTTGACTGGGCTGTCAGCTCAGGGACACTGCAGTCTGTTGTAAACATACAGCCAAAGAAACCGTGTTCAGATAACTCCCCAGCTAAAACACCTGGGTGTATGGCTGTCATTTTAACCCCACCACTGGGAAATGAAGCACAAAGGAGCAGCACTCAGGGTTTTAGTGGTTTGTTTGATGAGTGCTTACCCTCAGCACAGAGGTTTGCATTGCTGTGGCAGGGTTCTACCACTGGTGGGAATCCCTACTGTGTGCTCACCAGCTGCTGCACAGCTTGCACAGAGAAGCTATGCAGCGTGCACTAAAATCAAGGCCCCAAGGAAGAGCGAGGAGGATTCATGGTTCCAGTGTGTCCTTAGTTTCATGACTTGCCTGTTTTCCAGACAGCAAAGACAGGCCAGAATTAATACACCTGGAAGTTCTGGGAAGTTAAACTGTGGGGATGTGGTGCACCTGGAGGGTGAACAGGTTATTAGGGAGATAAACGTCTCCAAAAACATGATCTGCTGCCAACCAGGCTCTAGAAGACTTTTTTTTTCCAGAGCACAACAAATATCTGTCCTGTCTACCTTCTGTGACAGAGGACAGGACATCTTAGAGGAGGAGCAGTAGGATACTAAATGCTTTTTCTCCAGGGCAGCAGAGTTCTTAAGTCTCCATGGACATTTGCTCCACTCTGCAAAAATGATCTGCTGGTCCCAGAAGAGCTGCTACCAGCTGTTTTTGGGGGTTCACTTGCACCAGCCCCTGAGTGGGCTGCTCCCATGGGAGGGTTGTGGGAGATGATCTGGCTGACGTTGGCTCTCAGCATGGCATGGGTGAGCAGAGATCATGAGCAGCCAGCACGTTTGCTGGGACAGTGTGGTCAGGGCATCTTCACTGCGGGCATGGGGACAGAGGTGCCTTTCCCAGGTCTAGATCAGGGATAATAACTGCTGAGGGCAGAAAGCTCCTGGAAAAGCTGGAAGCAAATTCATGCCCTGGCCTATGTATGAGAGAGGCTTTTTGGTCTGTGAGATGGCAGAAGGTAGGCAGAAGCTGGCAAGTCTGCATGCACAGCTCAGCCCCTGGGACTGCCAGCCCCAGTGTTAATTGTCGGAGCTCCAAAGCTGCTGTGATAAATGTGTGTCTCACGTTAGCGCATGATGTGTTACATGGGAACACGGGATTATGTTACTCCCTGAGCCATATGTTCACGATTACGTGTTCTGGTTGAAAGCAACCCTAAACCTGAGATCAGGAATGTTTCGATACCATTTGCCCTGGACTCCATGCCATTCCATTTCTTCTAAATTAAACTCGCTTGATAAAGCCCTGCAGAGCTGGCCATGGCTCACATAGTTTCCACATTTCCCAGTTGTTTGTTTGTTTCATTTACTTGAACCAGTACAAACACAACCCTTGGGTAGTTGTCAGCAGGACATGGCTATCTCCTGACCTTGGCAAGGCAGTGTTTCCAGACATCTGTCCCCATAGAGCAGAATTCATGCCAGCTTGGCCTCCAGCCTGCTTCTCTGATTTTTAGGGGAAGGGTGTGAACACAGTCCCCACCTCTGCTGCAGCCTCCCTGTGTGATGCTCCTCTCCAGGACTATCTGTCTTGCTTTCTGGAAGACAAATGTTCCATCTTCTTCTGGCCTGAAGTTGTTGAAAGGGTGACAAAGAGGAGGCAGTGAGATGACACTTGAATTTTTAAAATCTGCAAAGTAACAGTGTGAGTCCTGTCTCCTGTGTTCTGTACCAGATCCTCCTTGGCTTGCAGATGATAGTGGAAAAAATCAGCTTGTTCATGACTGGTGCCCACAGCATCTTCTGCTGCCACCCATCCAGCAGCTCCCTGAGCACAGAGATGAGGCAGAAGAAGAGCTCTGAAGTAATGGCAAAATATTCATTTGCAGGCACCTCCTTCTGCTTTGCACCTGGCTGTGTCAGGGCTGGTTGTGGTGTGCTGCCAACAGCACGTTACTCTCAAAGAAAAGGCAACTGGGTTGGCAAAGGAGATGGTAAAGGCCAGAGCCACCCTTCACCTCTTGCTGTGGTGCTTGGGCTTGCTGGGTAGGTCTGTGCCCTGGTCAGGACCTGCTGGGTTTGATGGGCGAGGTGCACTGGTGCCTCCGCTGCAAAGCCCAGCTCCTCACAAAGGCGGCAGCAGCCACCCCTCGGTCCCGCGATGCTCCCTTGCCACTGTGGGGATTTCTCCTGCTGACAGGTTGGGACACACAGTTGATGGTGTATCTAGAATTACCGGGGTGGGCAATCGTCCAAGAAAAAGCTGTGTAAACTGGTCCTCATGCCAGGACAACAGGGCAGTCCTACCTGTGCAGCATCCTGCAGCCATGGGTGAGCCTGATGGATACCACTGCCCCTCCCTTGTGAGGACACAGCCAGGAACAACATACCCTCTCTGCACCCCCAAAACCCCAACCCCTGTTCCAGTTTATAAAGGTTCTGTGCCAGGGCTTGGAGCAGCAGCAGGCAGCAAAGCCGCCCCTGTGCTCCAGGGTTGGTGGGGTGGTCCCAGGTGAGGATACATGATGGAGGTGCTATGGCCTCCCTCACCTCGCAGCAGGAAGCAGCAGCAGTTTGTACTGCCTGACCGCCTCCTTCTCCCCTTCCTGCTCCGCGCTAGTGCTACAGCTCTATCGGGAAAAGGATAATTAAATTTCCTCTTGGTGTCCTCCCTTTCCTGACGTGTCTCCCATCTGGTTGCTGGTGGTGCAGAAAGTTCAAGACCTGAGTCCTGGGTCACTGGCCGTGCAGGGGAGGCAAGGCTGTGCGTGCTGGGGGCTGTGGGGGCAGAGATGGAGATGTGTTTTGGGGACTGCACAAGCTCACATAACCCTGACGGAGATTTTTTAGCCCTTGCAGGAGCGTTGGTGGCTTCCTCTGAGGAAGGGCGTTGGGGAAATGGAGGGAGCCATTAGCAGAGGGTGGTCTGGGAGGCTGAGACTGGGCGTGCAGGCTGGGGGCGGGTGTCTGGGGAGGAAGCGTGAGTGTGCATCTCCGGCCAAAGTGGAAAATCCTCTGGTCAAGAGCCCCCACACCCGCTGATGTGCTGGCTCCCTGGCCATGGTGGAACATCATGCCTTGGCAGAGCCTTGCTGGTGTGAACTGAAGTTTCTTTACATGTTAGGGAGATCTTTTCTTGGTTTTCCCCTCATGACTTTATATGTGAAAGCCCGGTGAAAAGAGGCAGCTGGAAGCTGCACAACTATCCAGCACAAAAGGCCTTGGAGGGTTGCAGCTGGCTGTGGGCTTAGGCTGGAAACACGGAAACTATTCTGCTCCACTCACGGTTGGCGGCGATTTCCGCACACAAATGATGCGGTGCCTCAGCCAGGACCTCGCCTAGGCCTGCTGTGAGCCTGGCCATAATGAACTAAGCATCCTCAGTGAGTGATTAGGTATCATTTTCCTTGCTTGACATGACTTACATAAATAAAAGAGTCTAGTATCCTTCCTCTTTAGAAGGTGATGGGGAAGGGCTGGTGTGGGGCTCTGGTCTCCTCGCCAGCAGCTGTGCTGGCAGCGGGTTGGACCCTATGAGGCAGAGAGCTGCATTTCTGTGCTTGGCCAGAGCTCATCCTGCCTCTCTGTAGGCAGAAATTGAGCATTCGTATCTTGGATGGCTATGAAGTGACCTGAAAATATTTATGTTACCCATGCATTGCTTATGCTAACCACAGCAGCGAGCACAGCGCTGCCAGGAGCCAGGACTCGGCCCACGTGTCCTTACTCCATAGTCTGCGTTTATCTGAGACTTTGTGGTATTTCTCTCTCTGTGTCCTAAATATCAATTTGTGACCTGGAAAGGCCATCCAAGCTGCCTCCTTTAGCAGGTGTATGAGTTTTGTGACTGCTGCTACCAAACCCAGGTTGTCTATAGTGCCCAGCCTCCCCGAGTGTGATGGTTTGTTCGCCCAACCTAGACCCTGAAGGCAAAGCTGGTGGCACGTGGAAAATGCCAGCGCAGTTGGTTGAGAGCTGTTGTTTTATAAACCATGGAGCTGCCTGATAGAAAAATTGCCCTAACAGTGCTGTCACTGAAGCTGC